CTTATTCTTTCTACTAGTTATATGTCTTTTACCTGGTTTGTTATTGTTATACATATGTTTGGCGAGGATGAGATAAATGCACGAAGGATGTTGCCATGTCATTTGATGTGACACACATAAATGCTTGGTGAGGATGAGATAAATGCACGAAGGTTGTTGCCATGCCATTTTATTTGATATCTTGTACATATTTCTTTTATTATATAAATTTGTGGATATGGCTTATGTTGCTTTACGGATATCATTTCTTCCTCATAGACTTGCTTGATTGAGAAAGGTTTGGTTGTTATATTTGTGAAACATGCTTGTTATTTCTCTTATATGATCCTTTAACTATTACTTGTCTTTTCCCTTGTTATTTCTCTTGCTTATGAATTGCACAGGCTATATTAGTGAGTATCTTTTGACTTAAAAACCTCACCACTACTTTACTGAGATTAGTCAAGATACTTACTGAGTACATAGGGTCGATTGTACTCATACTACATTTTTGCACCTTGTGTACAGATATTTAGAACTAAGCGATTGCGGAGTTCGAGGTCGGGCATTGAAGACTAATGCGTTCCAGCCATCTACTATCATTTGTTCATGGTAGAATATGACTTATATTTCTATTTGTGTAAATTTCAAATAGACGATGTAACTTTCTGCATATCATAGTTGTATTCTTATTCTTAGTCGCTCATGGCTTATATTACCATTCCATGGAATAGTTGTATTACTTTTTGTATTCTTATATTATTTATTAATTTGATAATTTCCAATTTGGGTAGAGGTATATATTAGTTGGCTTACCTAGTATGTTGGGTTAGGTGCCATCACGACTTGGTGGGATTTTGGGTCATGACATATACTATATACCAAAATAATATACTATATAATATTTTGGTATATCAAAACTAATTCAATAGTATACAATTAATTGCAATAGTATACTATTACAGTATATAGTATAATACATCAGTACACTATTAAACGAAGAACACAAGATACAATTTTGATATAATATATGTCATTTTGGTATATAATGTATAAATCAATAGTATACAGTTTATACAACAGTATATTGTTATAATATAGAATATAATGTAACATTATACTATTATAGTTGGGTCCTTTTATATTATTTTTTTCAACTAGGTCCTTTTTAAAATTTTCGACGAAGTTCTTATGCTTTTTCAAATATTTTCTTAAATGAAGTATTTAATGGAGTTCCATGGGGGTATCATTCACTGTATTATAAGTAAGAGTAGGAAAAAACATAAAATAGTAATATACATATTTGATGTATTATATACCATGCTAGTATACTACTGTAACGACCAAACCAGTCGTTTTTGGCATTTGCATTCCATTCAACTATTTGAAGTCTTGAGCAGGATCGTATGATGTATTATGACTTGTGTGAATCGCCGGTTTTGGTTTTCAGGTTATTCAGAATTAATTTGGTAGAATGATTCTTAACTAAGAAGCTTTAAGTTGGAAGAGTTGACCAAGTTTGACTTTTGAGTATTTGATCCCGGATCGGAGTTTTAATGGTTTCGTTAGGTCCGGATGGTAATTTTGGACTCGAACGTATACCTGGATTCACATTTGGATATTTCTAGAAGGTTTCGGCACTAATTGGCGAAAGTTAGAAATTTGAAGATTTGGAATGTTTATAAGTTTGACCGGGAGTTGACTTTGATGATATCAGGTTCGGATTGTGGTTCCGGAAATTAGAATAGCTTTGTTATGTTATTTGGGACTTGTGTGCGAAATTTGAGTTCATTACGAGTTGATTTGATAAGGTTCGGCACGAGTTTTGGAAGGTGAAAGATTCAAAGTTCATTAAGTTCGATTTGAGATGCGATTCGTGGTTTTGATGTTGTTATGCGTGATTTGAGGCCTCGAGTAAGTCCGTGTTATGTTATGTGACTTGTTGGTATGTTCGTATGAGGGTTCCAAGGGGCTCGAATGAGTTTCGGATAGGTTTGGGTTGTGTTGCGCTCGTTTTTGATGTTTCAGCGTCGTTTCTTCAAGCATAGATGGTACCACATTAGCAAATGAGCTCCAATTTCTGTTTTGATTGAATATTTATATCTGTATTGTAGTTTTGGAACCATAGCAACCAGAATCATCAAGTTTCGACATCGTATGAGGAATTTATGGTCATTTTACTAAGAATTGGGTTGCTAGCTTTTTTAAAATTAATTATGAAATTGCCACTGAATTCGTATTAAAAAGTCTGCACTATTTCCAAATATTGAAACAAGCATATCTCCTTCAATATAAGGTCAAATGGAGTAATTCAAGAGCCTAACTTGACTAGTATTTCACAAAGAATCCAATGGAGGCATTAAAAATAAGTTTCGAGATCATCTGGCACAAGAAACAAGGCAGAACGATATTAAATTAAGGTTTTAGTTTTTTTATCATATTTTGAGATTTGGGGCTCAGATTGAGATGATTCTGTAAGCAATTTTTATCACACAGATTGGGGTAAGTATTCTACACTCGGTTTTGGTTATATTTCGTGAATCTATCTTTATTTTGGCAATTGGTTGATGAAATTTAAAGAGGAAATTGAGGATTTTTGTCTAAAATTTCATAAAGTAAATTTTCGAGTTTTGAACACCGATTTGGAGTAGGAATTGAATGAAACTAGTATTGGACTCGTAATTGAATGGGTTGTCGAATTTTATAAGTTTCATCGGGTTCTGAGGCGCAAGCTCGGGTTTGACTTTTTGGCCGATTTTGGGCTTTTGAGTAAAGATTCGACGTTTATCAATTGAAATTATTTCCTTAGGCATTATTTGATGTTCTTGAGTTGCTTTTGGATAGTTTCGAGCCGTTTGGAGGTTGGTACATGCGGGACGGCATTTTTGGAGTATCGTTTGGCTTGCTCGGTATTGGATTCGGCTTGTTCGAGGTTAGTAACACTTCTAAACTTGGTGCTGAGGGTATGAAACCCCGAATTACGTGTTATGTGTTTGGTGTTGGGGTGACGCACATGCTAAGTGACAGGCGTGTGGGCGTGCACCATGTGAACTGTGACTCCATTATTTCTGTGGTACTGTGTAGTTGCCTGATCTTATCTGTAACCATGTAATCTCTACGTACTAGAGCTATTGAGCTGTGATCCATGTTAGAAATTATGTCTAGGCTACATGCTTATTCTGTTGGGACCCACTGAGATCATTTCTGCTGTTGAGTTATTTGCTTACATTGCAATTGCATACTCAGTCGTACGCATTCATATGCATATCATATCTTAGTCTCTGTTACCATTTATTGATACATCACATCATTATTTTTGGGCTAATTTTATGACATTGTGAGCCCGAGAGACTGAAGATATTGATGACTGAGCGAGGTCGGGGGCCTGATTGTGAGGATATTAATTTATGATGGGAGCGGGCTACACGCCGCATTAGATGTTATTGATTTACGCCATGATTGTCTTATTATAGTGCTTGGGCTGAAGGAGCCCCTCCGGAGTCTGTACACACCCCCAGTGAGCGCAGGTACCTACTGAGTGCGAGTGCCGAGAGCAAGTGCCGAGTGATTGGAAGGACTGAGTGACTTTGAGGACTGAGTGACTGCGAGAATTGAGTGACTGGGAGGACTGAGTGACTAGGAGGACTGAGTGAATTGATACTCTGAGAGTATGGATATGATTTTATCACTGAGCTGCATCGCATTCGACATGCACACTTGACATACATGCATATAGATGCGTTTTCCTCATGTTGTACGGTATCATGTCATTCATGACTTTTCATACACATTGACATGTAGGCGTAGAGATGTATTTTCCTCATGCCATTTGATAATAAAACATCTTTTTGTTGTTGAAACGGTTTGGAAAAAATCACAATTTTACAAACCTACTCATATTTTGGTGATTTCGGTAAAAAGAAATTGGGTTTTCACTGATATACTTGAAAAATATGCCTATTTTTTCGGAACTGTGAACGAACTGAGCATCTTATATCTGAGTATTTTTCTTGTACCATTCTTATTATTTTGTTATGAACTGTTGTTGGCTATTGGTGTTGGACTCCGACCTTTGTTCCAGCTCGTCACTACTTTCAACCTAAGTTTAGGCTTGTTACTTATTGAGTACAGGGGGTCGGTTGTACTCATACTACACTTTTACACCTTGCGTGCAGATTTGGATGCTGACGTTGCTTTGCATGATGGGAGCTAGCATTGAAGACGTACCTGCATTTCGGTTATAGCTGCCTCTTGTTCATGGTAACTCTAGACTTATGAAAAATCTATTTATGTATTATTCGGACAGATGAGGTATTTATTCAATACTAGCTTTGTAAACTCTAAATCTTAGAAGCTCATGATTTGTACTACCAGTACTTGAGAAATTTTTGTATAAAAGCAATTATATTATAATTTCTTTTCTTGATAAATCTCATTAATTTGGATAGTTGTTAATTGGCTTACCTAGCGGGTTGGGTTAGATGCCATCACGATTGTGAGCACTTAATTTTTTACTATATTTAAATTTTTCATCACTTTTTAGTATGTAAATATGTGCAAAGTTTAATCTTGATTTTTAGCCTTTATTTCACTTTTTAGTAGATTTATTTAATAAAATTAAAAACTACAAAAAGAGTTACATTTTTAAGAGTATTAGTTTTATTTTCATTCACAAAGAAAGAAAAGTTTCCAAAAATATAGTTTAATACAATTTTTAAGTTAGAGGTTTGAGTGTAGTAATTTTACTTGCTTTATTTACTTATTTAATAGGAGTAGATTATTTTGCTTATTTATTATCAAGAAAGAAAATACTAAAAAAAAAAAAAACAATTATAATTGATCACTTGTAAAAGATTCTTCCTAACAAATTCCCACTTTTCTCGGTAGCTTCTCACATAACCTACTATCAATCTCTCTCATTCACGTTTTATTCCATAAAAGTTTACACATGTGCACTGAGTTTCTGATTTTCATTTTTTTTTTTACTTTTTACATATGATTCATCCTCATCCCACAATCACAGCTCTCTCACGGGAGGATAGGGAAAAATACATAACACCTGTATCTTGCTCTCCAAGATTTTTTGGGGTCATTCTTATCCATATACACACATACACATCAGACACACACCAGGGATCCTTCCTACTCATTTTCCTCTCCGTTACCAATATATAAGCACACACCCAGTTCATTATAGGGGGGACGAGAGAAAACGAGAGAGAAAGGGGGCGCATTATGAGTAAAAATTGTCAGTAGCAGCCAAGACTCTCCTTTCTTCTCCAACTTAGCGTGGCCATGAAAACTAGTAAAAACCTCCCATAACTCCAGCATCTATCTTCCATGAAAACACCAATTCCCACCATGAAACTCCATAGAGCTGACCATCACTGTCCACCCCCAAACTCCGGTTGAAAAACAGCTTCAAACACAACTAGATCTCTAGCAAAACAACCCCCCAAAACCAGCCACTAAATAGCCACAAAACAATTCGTTTGAGTTTAAGTTCGAGACTTCCTTGTTCGAGGTTGTCGTCGTCAAATTTTCCTGTCAGTTGAGTCTTCCGTTGGTTCCCAGGCGAGGTTTCGTCATTGGCAAGGTCCCCGATCTGAGATCAGTGAGGGTTCCCGGCGAGGTTCTTTTTGGCTTCGAGTCAGAGTTTCCCTCTTTTCTGCTTTTGGATAATCGACATGATTTTCTGTACGTTGGCTTGGAGTTTTCTGCTAATATAAGGTCCCCTTTCTCTTCTTTAACATGCTTCTTAGTTCCATGATATTTGCTACAGTTTTATTTGCCGAATGAAAGTTAGATGATATTCTTGCTAAAACTTGATTACTATAGTATGTCTAAGTCACGTATCTATCTAAGAATTTTCATGGGTTAGATGTATATTTTTAGTTTTTATGAGTTTGAAAGTCATGTGTAGAAGTAGGAAGGGCTATTTCCTTTGTTAAAATTGAAATAAAGTAATCTGAAATTTGTTAAAGAGAAGTAGATTTGTGTCTGCTAACAGAGGTTGAAATAAGGTGTGGGTTTAGTGAAAATGACAGCCGTTGGGATAATTTTGAACTTAAAAGGATCTGGGCTAAAATTCATGAGTCCAAAACGTTCTTCTCCATTTTTTGTGTTGCATATTTCCAAATAACCGAATCATACCATTTCTTCCCACAATAATTTTCATAACTCTTAGAACTGTCGCAAATAATCTCAAACTTAGGAAACTAATCAATTTACAAACACTCGTAAGATGCTTTAGGCGCGTTCTAATCTATTATCGTATTTGTGTACACGTTCGTGTGACATAATTATGATTCCAAAAAATAAAAAAAGGTACGCGTTCGCGTGACTTTAGCTAAAAACAATCTTCATAATTAATAAAGCGTGATTAATTGTGTAGACGTACGCGTGACATGATTTTAGCGCACTAAATAAAGCGGATTCACACACATGTGGTTCCGTTTCACAGATTAAATCCATTACGCCATAATTAAAAGCGGTAAAAAGGTAAATGTACATAGGTTCTAAAATAAGTAATTAAACAAATTAATTAAGCTAGGTATGATTAAAGCGACCGTGCTAAAACCACGGAATCCGAGAATGCCTAACACCTTCTCCTAGGTTAACAGAATTCCTTACCCGGTCTTCTGATTTTCGCAGACTTTAAACATAGTCAAATTTCCTCGATTTGGAATTTTAAAATAAATCAGTGACTTGAGACACCATAATAATTATTTCAAGTGGCGACTCTAATTAATTAAATAATCTCATTTCGAATAATGTCACTTTAATTGGAAAAACTCCCTATCCCCTCGGAAAAAAGGAGGTGTGACAACGACTAGTTGGATTTTGGGTCATGACAAGTTGATATCAGAGCTCTAGGTTTGTAAGTTCTATAAGTCATGAGCAAGTGTCTAGTAGAGTCTTGAGGATCGGTATGATGACGTCCACACCTATCTTCGAGAGGCTACAGGGCATTTAGGATAAATTTTTCATCTTTCTTTCCTTATCGTACGGCATTGATTCAGCTTGAAGCGTAACTCTTTGAATTCCTTCCATGCACTCGTATGCGCATGTGAGCGCTCGGTATCAGCTGTGCATCAACGGCTTGTGATTTCATGGATGAGGTACGAGAGGTAATTTTGGTGTGCTGGTGATGGGCCAGTATGGAGGACTTGAGGCCGGGTTTTGACTGTAGCTTGAGCACGGGGATTTCGGTTGTGTGAGCATGTGCTTTTGAACTTATAAGTCTGGTAGTGTCCCTATTAGTGAAATTTGTGGCTCGATGAGTGGTTGGATGGCTAAATGATGAGTATGATATGACTGCGGGATGTGTTAAGATGAATTAAATGTGACGAGAAGAGTTTGCTTGAGATATAAAAAGGACTATTGGGTGCTTGATTTCTGTCTTGATGTGACGTATAGTCTCGAGTTATGAGTGTATTCGAGGATCTTTCATGTTATTTAAATGTGGAATGAATTAGGTTCTCATGCCTTGTTGGTGAGTTCAGACTCAGGAAGATTAAGTGATTGCATAGTAGTTGTGCCTGTGAAAGGGTATAAAGAGATGTCAGTTTGAGGCTAAGCAGGTGGGTTGTAACCTACGAGATAATCTACGGATGTGTGATTTTTATGATGTTGTGTGGAGGCTTGTTTTTCTGACAATGGGTTATATTTGTGCGATTTGAGTTTGGATGAGTTGTAATAGTTGACCTGACCGTCACGAGGATGAATGCAAGATTTGCAGATGATTTGAGGTATTAGATGGATTTTGTTATATGAGCTTATAAAGGATTTAGTTGAATCTCACTGCGGTATTATGGAAGTAATGAGGTATGGTTATTGTAAGTTATCAGATGTTTTATTCCATGGATTTGAGCTAAGTGGGGGAGTCTTCTATTCGACTGGTTGATTGCATAATTATGTATTGTATTGGTTTCGGTTTGAGGTATACTTGTGAATCGGTTATGACTTGCAGAGGTTGAGATCGAGGATGACTCGAGAAAGGGAACTTCTGGATACGGGTTGTATTACACTCTATGGGTATATGGAAATCATGGAATGATTTGAGTTGTTATTCGTGACGGATGTAGTGCGCATGGTATAGGTATTTGCTCGGTTGCATTAAGGCGAGGTTACTTCATTGGGTGTTGTCGTGCTAATGGGGCACAAGTCGTTCGGCCCGTTTGGGCGGTGCAATTGAGATTTGAGTAGAGTGAATGACTCTCGAGGAGGTCCTAATAGATTCAAGATTATATGCAGTAATTGAGAATTTTTTGGATTTGTATATGGTTAAGATCTGAGATTCACATTGGATGGAGCCAGGACTTGCGGTATTTCTGTATCACTATGGATTCTGCATTTCAGTATCAGGAATGTGAAGTTAACGGCTTTAGGTTCACAAAAGGTCTTTTCAGATTGGGTGTCTCGGTTTTGGTACTTTTGGGGTGCTTAAGAAGGAATACAACTGCTTATGGCCTTTAGACCGTGTGGTTTTATGTTAGGAACTCTTGTGGTGAGGTTTGGGTAAGGATCGTGATGTTCTAGCAAGGAGAAGTGTCACCTTGAGGGTAATTCAGAAGGAACTCGGAGAAATGGGACAACTTGGTAGTAGGTTGGATCAGCACGACAATGGATACGATCGGTTCTTTGGGTACTTATGATGTGGTGAGTGTCTACAGGTGTTTGTGGCAATACTGGTTTGGCGACCTGCATAGCTTGGTTGAATGAGGGAGGTTCAGTTCTGGTGGCTTCGTTATGTGCAAATGGGTTCCAAGGAGTTCTCGATGGTTTTTACCACGGTTTGAGATGGATATTTTCTACCGGAGTGAGGAGCATGTTGTGTATTGTGATTTTCTCCTGGATGGGATCAAATAGAAGGTTTTCGAATGACCGGGAATGTATTTTTCTTGTGACTCAGAGTTGATTATGAGATTCTCGTACTTTTCATATGATGGCATGATAGATGCGGTGTGTTGTGTGGGATTGAGATTTGCATGTGCAAGGTCACAGTTAAGTTTTGAAGGGAAGGTCATGAATTCTTAGGTAACATGGACGGTTTCAAATGACTAGATGAATAATATTACTACTTGGAATTGCCTGAGCAGAGTGTACATTTAGAAGACACGCTACATTTTGACCTATGGATGCTTCATTGGTATTGTGGTACTCGTCTGGTTGATCGACTGTTGATGTTCGAATTTTGCTATGTGGCACGGAAGAATTATGAAAGTATTTCTCGTAGAAAGATTATGTATGAAGGATGTATCAGTCACTTGAGTGGTGGAGATGGGATCATATATGGTGATTCTTTTGTATTTTGGTAGTTTGGAGACTGGAGTCTCAGAGGCAGATTGTTCCTTGGTTGCAGACTGTGAAGGTATGGCCAAAGTCAGATATCTAATAGTAGGTGTTATGGTTAGGCCATTGAGGACTTCTGGAGGGTTATTTATCTATCTATGGATGGCCGAATCAATTTGGGGGCCCATTGGTAGGCCAATGAGGATGTGTATTCTACACCGGGTCGGATTTGTTGACTCAGCACGGTTAGTGTTGAGGGGTGAATAATTCGATTAGATTTGAGCTTGTTCAAGTTCTGATATGTTCTATGTGTTACTCATCTATGCTACGAGGGATGGTGATTCATTGATTATATGCACACATGGTGCAGTTCAGTTTGGGCCTTATAGCGGAATTTGAGCGAGATAGGTATTAGGGTGTTGAATGATTGATTGCGCATTGGTTATGTTCTTTATGGACTGTGGTATATAGTGTTATTCGCCTCTTCATGGTTATAGCCAAGCACTTTGTGTACTTGATGTCAAATTGCATGTAGTTATTGATTTTGAGGATTGTGGATTGAGGTATTTTCATATGGACCGATGTTTGGATGGGTCACGCATTGCAGCGGGGCTATGTTGGGATATGATCCTTTGTGTTAGATTCATGTGTCTTAGTCCTACTATGGGTGATGGGGTTCATAGCATTGAGTTGTGGTGGTACTTGTTGAGCTTGCGGGATGGTTCTCTCATTTGAGTCATTTTCCATGATTGAATACATTTGAAATGTTTCTTATTGGTGCACGGATTACACGGTTTATGGCTTTAGGTTGTATTGGTATGGCATGTCAATAGAATGGTTGTGTTGGATGAGATGAGGTCATTGGACCTAGAATGGGTAGTATCAGATTTGATTACAGTATGTATGGAGAAATAATTTTAGAAGTCAGCTTAGAATTTGGCTTTGGGTTCTTCCACGACTTGTTAATATGATAGGTGGTTATGAGTTTCTATATGTTTCTTTCATCATTGGCAGTGTACGAAGGTTCAGAACAAGATTTTAATTGATATGAGGTTTGTTATCGGTGTCGGGTTTATTTTGAACAACTATTGTGATTGGGAATTAGTGCTATGAGTATGCGAGTTGTATGGTATACATGTGATTACATCTTGGGTTATGGTTATGGCTTGATACGGTTTGGTCAGACTTATATAGTGTGTAAATGCGAGATTCGAGTCTTGCAAGGAATTTCAGGTGTTGGGAATTGGGTTCTAAGGCTTATGGTCTAATGTTAAAGTAATGATCTTCAGTTAGGTTGTGTTGTCAGGCTTATATGGATTGGGGTGGTGTGGGATCACCCCCGGGAATGTGCATGGTAAGGTTACATGGCAATTTGATGGCTTTGGAACGACTCTTGGCACGTTCGAGGACGAACATATGTTTAAGTGGGGGAGAATGTAACGATCCAGTCGGTAGTTTTGGGCATTTGCATTCCATTCAGCTATTTGAAGACTTGAGCAGCATCGTATGATGTATTATGACTTGTTTGAATCGTCGGTTTTGATTTTCAGGTTATTCGGAAGAATGATTCTCAACTAAGAAGCTTTAAGTTGGAAGAGTTGGCCAAGTTTGAATTTTGAGTATTTAACCCCGGATCGGAGTTTTGATGGTTCTGTTAGGTTCGGATGGTGATTTTTTACTCGGGCATATATCCGGATTCGCATTTGGATATTTCTAGAAGGTTTCGACACTAATTGGCGAAAGTTGGAAATTTGAAGGTTTGGAATGTTCATAAGTTTGACTTGGAGTTGACTTTGATGATATCAGGTACGGATTGTGGTTTCAAAAATTAAAATAGCTTCGTTATGTCATTTGGGACTTGTGTGCAAAATTTGAGTTCATTCCGAGTTGATTTGATAAGGTTCGGCACGAGTTTTGGAAGTTGAAAGATTCAAAGTTCATTAAGTTCGATTTGAGGTGCGATTCATAGTTTTGATAATGTTAAGCGTGATTTGACGCCTCGAGTAAGCCCGTGTTATGTTATGGGACTTGTTGGTATGTTCGGACGAGGTCCCGAGGGGCTCGGATGAGTTTCTGATATGTTTGGATTGTGTTGCGCTCGTTTTTGATGTTTCGACGTCGTTTCTTCAGCATAAATGGTACCACATTAAGCAAATGAGCTCCAATATCTGTTTTGATTGAAGCATTAGATTCGTATCGTAATTTTGGAATCATAGAAACTGGAATCATCAACTTCGACATCATAAGAGAAATTTATGGTCATTTTACTAAGAATTGGGTTGCTAGATTTTTCAAATTAATTACAAATTTGCCACTGAATTCGTATTTAAAAATTTGCATTATTTCCAAATATTGAAACCAATATATCTCCTCCAATATAAGGTCAAATGGAGTAATTCAAGAGCCTAACTTGACTAGAATTTCTTAAGGAATCCATTTGAGGCATTAAAAGGAAGTTTCGGGATTATTTGTCATAAGAAACGAGGCAGAACAGTATTAAATCGAGGGTTTGGTTCTTCATATTTTGAGATTTGGGGCTCGTATTGAGGTGATTCTTGAAGTAATTTTCATCACACAGATTGGGGTAAATGTTCTATACTCGGTTTTGATTATATTTTGCGAATCTATCTTCATTTTGGTAATTGGTTGATGAATTTTAAAGAGGAAATTGGGTTTTTTTTTGTCTAAAATTTCATAGATCGAATTTTTGAGTTTTGAATACCGATTTGGAGTCGGAATTGAATGAAACTAGTATGGTTGGACTCGTAATTGAATGAGTTATCGAATTTTATAAGTTTTGTCTAGTTCTGAGATGTGGACCCGGGTTTGACTTTTTGGCCGATTTTGGGCTTTTGAGTAAAGATTCGACCTTTATCAATTGGAATTGTTTTCCTAGGCATTATTTGATATTCTTGAGTTGCTTTTGGCTAGTTTCGAACCGTTCGGAGATCGGTACACGCGGGATGGTATTTTGGGAGTATCGTTTGGCTTGCTCAATATTGGATTCGGCTTGTTCGAGGTAAGGAACACTTCTAAACTTGGTGCTGAGGTTATGAAATCCTGAATTACGTGTTATGTGTTTGATATTGGGGTGACGCACATGCTAGGTGACGGGCGTGTGGGCGTGCACCGTGTGAATTGTGACTCCGTTATTTTTGTGGTACTGTGTTGTTACCTGATCTTATGTGTAACCATGTAATCTCTACGTACTAGAGCTATTGAGTTGTGTTCCATGTTAGAAACCATGTCTAGGCTACATGCTTATTCTGTTGGGACCCACTGAGGTTATTTCTACTGTTGAGTTAGTTGCTTACATTGCAATTATATACTCAATCGTATGCATTCATATGCATATCATATCTCAGTCTCTGTTACTATTTATTGATACATCACATCATTATTTTGGACTGATTTCATGATACTGTGAGCCCGAGAAACTGGAGAGATTGATGATTGAGCGAGGCAGAGAGCCTGATTGTGAGGATATTAATTTATGATGGGAGCGGGCTACACACCGCAGTAAATGTTATTGATTTATACCATGATTGACTTATTATAGCGCTTGGGCTGAAGGAGCACCTCCGGAGTCTGTACACACTCCCAGTGAGCGGAGTACCTATTAAGTGCGAGTGCGAGTGCGAGTGCCGAGAGCGAGTGCCGAGTGATTGGGAGGACTGAGTGAATTGATACTCTGAGAGTATGCATATGATTTTATCACCGAGTTGCATCGCATTCGACATGCACACTTGACATACAGGCATAGAGATGCATTTTCCTCATGTTGTACGGTATCACATCATTCATGACTTCTCATACACATTGATATGTAGGCGTAGAGATGTATTTTCCTCATGCCATTTGAGAATAAAACATCTTTTTGTTGTTGAAACGATTGGAAAAAAATCACAGTTTTACAAACCTACTCATATTTTGATGATTTCGGTAAAAGAATTGGGTTTTCACTGATGTACTTGAAAAGCATGCCTATTTTTTCGGAACTGTGAACGAGTTGAGCATCTTATATCTGAGTACTTTTCTTGTACCATTCTTATTATTTTGTTATGAACAGTTATTGGCTATTGGTGTTGGACTCCCACCTTTGTTCCAGCTCGTCACTACTTTCAACCTAAGGTTAGGCTTGTTACTTATTGAGTACATGGGGTCGGTTGTACTCATACTACACTTCTGCAGCTTGAGTGCAAATTTGGATGCTGACGTTGATGTGCATGACGGGAGCTAGCATTGAAGACGTACCTGCATTCTGTTATAGCTGCCTCTTGTTCATGGTAGCTCTAGACTTACGAAAAATCTGTTTATGTATTATTCGGACAGATGATGTATTTATTCTGCACTAGCTTTCTAAACTCTAAATCTTAGAAGCTCATGATTTGTACTACCAGCCCTTGGAAAATTTTTGTATAAAAGCAATTGTATTATCAATTCTTTTCTTGATAAATCTCATTAATTTGGATAGTTGTTAATTGGCTTATCTAGCGGTTTGGGTTAGGTGTCATCACGACTAGTTGGATTTTGGGTCGTGACAACTACTATGTAAAATATTTTACAATAATATTAAAGCACTAATATTTTATCATACTAATATTTTATTATGCTAATATACTATTTTCATATAATATATGCCATAAAAAGAAGTTAAAAAAAAAAAGAAAAAAAAAGATATATTATGAAGTAGTATATATAGAGGGAAAAAAGTAAAAGGTATTCATTTGAACAAGAGAAAAAAAAATAGGATCAAATTAAGTAGAAAAAAGAAATAAAAAATATAATTTGGTGAAAAAATAAATGGAATGAAATTAAAGCGAAAAAAATATAATTTGAAGAAAATTGAATGAAATTAGAAGAGGCGAAAAAAGAAAGAAAAAAATAAAAAGAATAGAGAGAAAAAGGAGAAAAAAAGAAGGAAATAGAAAAGAAAGGAAACAAAGGGAGGATGAAAAAGATTTTAAAAAAATAGGAAAAAATAGGGAGAAAATATGGATCATGTGGTTTATGTAGGAGAATTAAAATAGCCACAATGATAATTACTTAATGGCTAGGATTCTTAAAGGATTATTTTTATTTAGACAAAGAACGGTTTAAAAATTAGAAAATTTAGAGAAATTTCCAATAGTAGATGTAAATGTTCGTAATTACCGATAAATAATATGACATTTAAAGTAAGGTCATATTTTTTTGTCATTTGTATCAAAAATGTTTTTACAACATTTGATATAAGTGTCGTATTTTTACTACATTTTGCATCAAATGTCGTTGTTTTTATGATATTTTGTACCAAATGTCGTCCTTTTTACGATATTTTGTATCAAATGTCTAGTCTTTACGATATTTTGTAGTAAATATCGTACTTTTTACGATATTTCTTCAACAATGTCATTGTTCTGATGACATTTTATATCAAATGTCATTGTTTTTATGATATTTCGTATTAAATGTCATTTGTTTTACGACATTTAGTATCAAATGTCATTGTTTCTACGACAATTTATATCAAATGTCGTAGTCTTTACGATATTTTATCATAAATGTCAAAAAATTCTTTTTTTCCGATATTTATATCAATAGTTACTAAATAAATATCGTCGTATCCTCAATTTCTCGTAGTGAGAGCAAGAATAAGTTTTTATAGGTATATCCCAACAATCATTCGTGTTTGGGCCTTTTGAATTTCCTGTGATAGATCCTAACTCAGCGTTGAATGGCCTAATGTATTACACCAGAGTACAATTTTACCAAAAAAGAAGTAGAAATTACCCAATTTAGCCTTTCAGATAAAGAATGCTACCAAAATTAATCAATTCACAAAATACTATCAATATTAGTCAAATATTAGCAATATTAGCCCATTAACTTTTCGTATATTTCTTCCTCTTTAGTCTATCTAGGAAGAAAAAGCAAATGCAAACCATAAGCAATACTAGATAAATAAAAATTGATCATTTCGTTGCTTAAGCGTCTAATAATTGCTTCGACATGACATTTTACACCACTGACTAGTAAAATCTTAAAATACAAATGGAAATTTTCAAATCCAAAAACTTGCAACTAATCTAGAACTAAAATCATGGGTACCATAGTTAAAAGAAAAGAAAAAAAAATGATTTGTTATATGCTTCGTGACAGAAACTAAAGAATGGTATTCCTCATTTGTATTTGCAATGCCTTGTTCTATCTTTTCTCATACAATAGCTAAGCAAAATAATAAGAAATGTAATGAAGATGAGCATTGAAAATCATTGAAGCTTGCTTACACTTGAGAAAAAGAGTTCGGATTTTTAAAATTAGAATTTATTTAATGTAAGTGTTGTTGGAAATGATGGGATACATCTCAAGGAGTTGGAATGTATCAAATGTATATTCCTGGTGTATCCCATATATATTCATGTATACATGTGTGTGAGATACATGTTAGATACATGTGCCATACATAAAATTATAAAATCGATTTCAACTACGAATTTTGACTCCAAACCAGTTCAATCACCTCCAATCTTCCTCAAATTTTGTATATTACCTCATCTATATATTTTTAATGAGTTCCAGCCATGCCCATTGAAAAAAAAAATAGGGTTTTTTTGATGTTGTATATCATTGATAACGAATTTTGACTCCAAACTAATCCAAGTCACCTTCATTTTTCCTCGAAATTTGTATATTGCCTCATTTATGTGTTTTTAACTAATTCCACCTATACCCATTGAAAAAATCCTTTTAGGCCTAAGTTTTTTGAATGTTTCGTTGGGGAGGAGGGGAAACTAAATGATGGCCCGTGCAGGTTTCAAACATGCGACATTCGCATTATTAGCATGACGCTCTAACCAACTGAGCTAATGGGCCTTGCTAATGTATAAACGGTGAAGTAATATAATAAGCATTTTCCTACAGCATTATTGTAGTTTTACCGTTACCGGATAAAATAGGTCATTTACTACGTGTAGCTAACAGAATCCATGCTTGCTATAGAAATTTTGTCTTTAAAATGACATGATATTGTCAATTTTTTACACTGACCATATATATAAGTTATATCATTAGAAATATAGTCTAAGACAAATTTAGTAGCTGAAATCACCTTTACACTATTATTTGATACAGTTTGGTAACTAATGTTTGTGACTAGGTGAAAATACAGTAAATAGTAATCCTAGTACATTTAACTTGCGCACTTTCCTGGAATTTGGCTTAACAACACATGTTTATCATTGTATATATCCAAGTAATAACCACATTGACACTTCAGAGTCACCATATGCTGCAATATTTATTGTCTTTCACTTGTTCAATTCTATACTTAGGGACTAGACAATAAATCCCACAGTATACTATGTACATGTTGGATATGAGACTATCTCAATCACTGCACCCAAGTGAAGCAGCAGCCTTAATAATCAAGCCAAATAGCAGGAATGGAGCAGAGAAGAAAGGACTGTGATCACTTTCCAAAGTGTACACATTCTGTGGAGGCCATTTTTTGATCATAGCATCTTGCTGCTCTGGCTTCACAACTCGATCATACGCTGTTCTAATGTATATTCGAGGCACTTTCTCGGCGCCTTCCCCTTCTTTAAACTGAGCACTTTTTAATGCTTGTATCGGTCCAGGACGCAATAACATAGCTGCTAATGTTGAATCCTACAATAACAACAATTACATCTGAATCCCAAACTAGTCCGGAAATTGTTGAATCCTAAAAATCGGGACAATCACTGGATAGGTGAAAGTATGAGGTATTAATGTGAAAAGTTGTACATATATACCTCGAGTGGGCTCATCTGGTAAATGATTTTGCGTTGTAAACTTCTCTTAATGACTGCACTGCTTGGAGGTTGTTCGGGTCCTAATCCAAACCCCATATCATATACATCAATAGGTTCACCAAACTCTGATAAATCTGGGATGCCCTGTTTATAACAAGATTNATTTATAACAAGATTTTAAGGCGTTAATCAATGCATATATATGACTTGTTAGGTGAAAATTAGGCCTTCGTAATTGCTACAACAAGACAAAAAATAAAAGCAACCTTCATCATTCAACGTCTTTAAGGTTTTGGGTGAGCTTATCTTAAGTAGTTTTTAAGCCAAAATACTTTTAAGCCATATATTAAGATTTCTAGCTTTTGGCTTTNGTTTATAACAAGATTTTAAGGCGTTAATTAATGCATATGATTTGTTAGGTGAAAATTAGGCCTTCGTAATTGCTACAACAAGAGGAAAAAATAAAAGCAACCTTCATCGTTCAACGTCTTAAAGTAGACTAAGAAGGATTTGAAGATTTATCTTCTGCGCGTGCAAATATTTATGGCTTTTATACATATGGAAATATCAACAACTACTACCATCTCAAAAAGAAAGAAAAGAAAAAGAAATAATAAATGCAGTTGGAGGTGTTTACTACAAATTTAAAATATAAAAGAAGACTTTTGATGCAAAGGTATAATGTAGTTGGATGTAAATAGGAGGAGTTTCTAAATACAAAAATATGTCAATTATTTTGGTATGGAGTGTTAAATAAATTGGGACAGATGAATAACTTTCAATGTAGATTCAACATTGATTACTCAAAGTGTTTAAAGAAATTACATATTGAAATACCAGAGTGAGTTGCTATTTACCAATGTGTAAAGACACTTGTTGGCACGACGTCATCATCATATAATGCCACAGAAGCAGCTCAAAGAGCTCTTGCAGGCAGGAAAGGCCAAGGCTTATATAGCTAAAAGAAGAGAGAATAATGCCACAATTAAAGCCTAAATATGAGAGCGAGAGAAGAAACAGACAAATAGACAATAAATTTTAGCACGATAGCCTGCATCAAGGCATCAGGGATGACGCAACAAAAATATTTTGACTGCAAATCCTACATGGTTTTACTCTTCAAGACAATATGGGTCTTCTAGCTCAGAAAATCCTTCAATCTCACTGTCTAAAAATCTCCCCCAGCCTTGACCCACCCCACCTATGAGTTAATATTTCAGGTGACTTGATCGATGCAAAAAATATAATTTTATAGATATTGAGACACATGTACCATTTATGATCATCAAGGCTATACTTACATCTTTAACGTCTTGTTCAGTCACAAATCCAGTTCTTAACATGGTCGCTGCAACATACACTGCCAACCTTACTTTCTTTGGGAATTTATGAGTTGCATCCGTGACACTCAGTCCTCCAGCGCTGTGTCCTACCAGAATTACCTATTTTTACCACAGTACATATAAATCATCATGTCCTTCACTCACTAGAATTGCAAAATAAAGTATAAAAATATGCATGTAAGTAAATATTTCGGTGCAGTCAATAAGTCTATTTTATGAACATTTCTGCAACGGAGAACGGACCTGTTCATTTTCAGGCAAAGATGACAAGAAATCAATGAGAGGCTCATTGTAATCATCGAAGGAAAGAAGAGTTGTGGGATCAGCAGGATGAATTC